TGATTACTATATTCTTGTAGTATAATTTTTTTCTCAAAATTAGGATAAAATATACAACAATAACAACTTCTACTTTATCAATTTATAATTTTTTTCTTAAACAACTTATTAAAATGTTTTAAAATATTATTTTACATGCTCATTAAGTAACGATTAAACTAAATAGAACTTACGTTTTTTTGTTTTTTTTAACAAGTGATTAAGGGCAAGTTCGAACCCACCAAAGTAAAGGGAGAATGTACCTTTAGAGTAATTTGAAGACCACTTAATCCGGAACAGTAAATGCAAATAGAACTTACTTTAACTATTACTAAACAAGAATAACATATATTTCAGAGTTATCAGTGTAACGTGCAAAGCAACATAAATAATAATAATAATTATTATGATTATTATTATATGAATACAAGTAAAAAATACTATAATTTTAATAAGATGATTTAATAATTAAAAGGTTTAAAACTATAAATTAAAAATTTTAAGTTTTTTTGAACATGCAATTAAAAATTTTAAGTTTGAACTACGAGTAAAGCAAAGAAGATATTTTTTTTTATATAATTCATAATCAAATATAAAAAAAATAAAAAACAAAAAAAAGTAAGAAAGACTATTGCTTGTCCAGATTTATAATTGGCCTATGGTACCTAGCAATCTGGCATTTTACAAACTCGTGTAGTATTGTATATTCCGATCGGACGGCGGATGAAATTGAACGGGAAATTTTGGTCAAAACATCTAACGGTTAGAGTGGCTAATAAAGTCAAACAGATCAGACGGCAGATAAATTTGAACGTTAATTCCCGAACACCTTTAGCAACGAACTCATTTTCCGATCGAAGGGAAGGGAAAACAGATGCAGACTACGTTGTCCAGATCTCCCTGAGAAGAAAACGCGCGGAACAAAGGGAGAAAGAGAGGGAAAAATGAATGGCAATTCGTCTTCTCGGAATCCCTCGTCATCTGGTTCGTCTCGCACCTTCGTCTTGTTGGGTTTTCGTTTCTGCTTGGTTCCCTAGAAAATAGATGGAAACAGGTTACAGAATAGAATAGTGATGGAATGCGTTCATAAATGTTCTTCCTTTTTGTTGTTTGTGGGTATATTTTCAGATTCTTGAAAATGGGTTTTTATCGTTTTCTTAGGTTCTTTTGAGGTTAACGAGAAGCAGAGTTGGGCAGCCTCACCTTCGACGGTTTTTTATCACTTTGGAACCAGTGGACTTTCCGTTGCAGTGGCGACAGCCGTTACGCACCCTCTAGGTTTTTGATTTTTTTCATCTTTTGCTTATTATTATGATGTTAATCCTGGATTCTATTTATGGTCTGTTAATCTGGTTCTGGTTGTTCTGATATTGCCTATTCTCCAATTAGAAGCTTCATAGGGAAAAGCCTGTGGATTTGTTGTCTTAGCTAAATGAAATGTTAATGAATTTTTGATGCCTTTCCAGGGAAGCTATGTGATTGATCTTTTCTTTATTTATTCATTTATTTTTTTCATTTTTTCTCTAATAAATTAGAGTTACCTTGCTTCATAACCTTATAAGGATTGGTCATTAGTGTGTTTGAAGCTATGAGTGAATGGATGTTGAAGTGAAGGCTCAATATTTTTAATGATATATGCCTTTTGGTTGATTTTAAGCTAATCGTGGGCAACAATACTTTGATACTGATTATCACTCTAATCCATTCAACTTGTATGAAATGTTTACAAGTTTTCTTCAAGCTTTTTAGTAAGTTGAAAGAACGTCGGGTATGATTTCAAGTTCCCATATCTTTCTTTGGCAGGATCTGATTGCTGTAACAAAAATGCTCTTAGAGATTTTTTAAGAGTACTACTAAATGTTTATTTTTTACAAAATTTGAGGATAATTAATTAAAGGAAAGCACTCATGAAAAGTATTATTACAATTTACAGCTATTAGGTGCATAATAGAGTTACTCCAAGTAAAGAAAAGAAAAAAATTGAGATGTGGACATGCATTCATCCATTAAGGAACATATTAGACATAATTTTTTTTATTGAATGTATGCATGACTGATTTATATCTGTTCTTCATGCAGATGTGCTAAAAGTTAGGCTGCAAATGCAACTTGTTGGTCAAAGGGGTCCTTTGAAGGGAATGGTATTTGACCAAGCTCTTAGTCTACATTTTTTATGAATTGTGACAGTTATCTGGTTTGTTCTGATTTCCTTGTTTTCGAGTTTTATCATTAATGGATGCATACAGGGACAACTGTTTGTTCACATTTTGAAAAATGAAGGACCAAAGTCTATGTATCTGGGATTGACACCTGCATTGACCAGGTCAGTTTTGTATGGAGGTCTCCGCCTAGGCTTGTATGAACCATCAAAGAATGCCAGTCAGTGGGCTTTTGGGTCCACTAATATCTTGGTTAAGATTGCATCTGGAGCATTTGCTGGTGCCATTTCAACAGTTCTGACCAATCCTGCTGAAGTTCTGAAGGTTATACTAGTTTTAAGGTTTTTCAGGTTATTCATTGTATGATTTGATCTAAAAAATCAGTTTTGCTGTCATCAGGTGCGTTTGCAAATGAATTCGGGCTCAAGACAAAGAGGAACGGTTGCAGAACTGCGCAGAATTGTCTCAAAAGAGGGAATAAGTGCTCTTTGGAAGGGGGTTGGGCCTGCAATGGCCAGAGCTGCTGCATTGACATCTTCACAGCTTGCAACATATGATGAATCCAAGCTGGTCAAGTTTCTAACATGCTGTTTTTCACTTTGAATATCTACCCAGTAATTTTCAATGTTTTGGAAGCGAGAATTCAAGTTTAATTCCTTGTCTGTCAGAATGTTATCAAATTTCTTCATTTTCTTTTCCTTTCCATTTTAAAGGTTTCTTTAACTTCTGTGAATGCAGCTTTTGATGAAGTGGACACCTCTTGAAGAAGGATTTTATCTGCATCTTGTGTATGTAGCTGCTCCTTTCTCCCTTCTTCACCCTCCTTATTGTCCAGATGTGCGCTTTATCAACTAAGAAATTCTTAATATTGGTAGATCATGGATGGAATTGAAAATTTAGGATAAAAGATTAAAAATATGGAAAATCAGATAATTTATGTGTCTACATCAGTGTTCAAGTTGCTTTCACGTTTTTTGGATATTAGTTAATAAATATGTAGCATTTAGAACATTACTTTATTTCTAGGAACATAAACCAGTAAAATAAAAACCTAGTCACATTACAATATTATTTGCTAAACCACCATTAGATCATGCAATCAAAGCTTGTTACTGAAAAAAACATTAGCAAAGCTGTTTCGTTGGGTATTGATTTTAAAGCATGTCATGTTCCTCCTATAGACAAATCTGCTTGATTTTTTTTTTTTCTTTAAACAATATGGTTATTATTTAACATATTTGAATTTCCTTCTTGAAGCTCAAGTACAATTGCAGGTATTGTGAGCACCGTTGTAACTGCACCCATGGACATGGTTAAAACCCGTCTTATGTTGCAACGAGAATCAAATGTAGTTGGAAGCTATAAAAATGGACTGCATTGTGCATATCAGGTATCTGACATTGTTACTTCTCTCTTTAGGAAATTGAGAATTCTCCTTCTTTTCTGTGTTTCCTTCCTGCTGGATGTGCGAGTTAAAGACACATTCATCTTTTCTTGGGTCAACCCTTTTCTGGTTTCTTATTTTTAAGATTTTGTATCTCATTTGTTTGATTTCCTAACATCTTTGCAATGCATGGTTCCAGGTTATGCGTACAGAAGGCCCCAGGGGACTATACAAAGGGTGAGATTGTATTTCGGTTCCTAGCCTAATTCTTTCTGATTTGGTGCCTGCCTGCCTGTAGTTTGAATCTCTGGGGATGCTTCCTCCGATGCATTATCCCAGAACTTTTTGCCCCCATCCATGATGTCATTTCATTTGCAAGTTTTTGGATCTTTTCGATTGATATTGCTAAGTTCTGGTTCTCAATTCATTTTCAAGTTCATTACTACTCAAGTTTTCTGGAGAGAAACATGATTAACTGTTGAACAATAAACATGGACTTGTTAATTTACAAGTTTTAAGATTCTTTCTGCACCTTGTTTTATGTTGTACTAGCATATATCAATTCCATGGCATTGACTTTAAATATATTTGCAGGGGCTTTGCAATTTTTGCAAGATTGGGTCCCCAGACTACCATTACCTTTATACTCTGCGAGAAACTACGCCAGCTTGCAGGATTGAATTCAATCTAACAAATTATTCATTTCCAGTTACTCATTGTTGCTGCCTCTAAGAGAAAGTTCATTTGAATTCATTCTTTTGGTGTCTGAGAATACCACCCTCATTGTATCACAAGGAACCAAAACTTTTTGGACACCCATCGGAATTGCCATGGCATCATCCATTGTCATATTCATTAAGGTCCATTTATTCACTAGAAATGTTGTAGAATTATTCATGTATGATTTCTGCCCATTTTTTCTTGGGTCTAATTTTGTTTACCATGGAACAAATCCAATGTGGGCTTTAAAACATGTATCAGTTGACAAATTTTCCAATAAAATGTTTGCTTGTCTTTTTTACAGATTATTACAGGAGTAAAGATTTTTCCGCACTAAAAATTGAAGTTCAAATTTCTCTAAGGGGGTGTGTGCTCAAATTTTTCTAAATAGTTTTTGTTTTTTTTTACAAGGGTAATGATTAGGAAGAAAATGTGAGTTAATTGTTAATTATTGGTTTTCAGACCGTGTAAACGTTCTATCTTTTCAAATGAGACACGCAACTATCAGGTCGTTTTTTAGTGAAATTCATGACAGTGGTGAAGTTCAAAACTTCGACTACCTCACTCAAGCACTTAAGGTTTAGGTCGAA